TCCGTTAAGTTTGTCCTACGTGGCAGTCAACTCTATTAGTTGACTGTTAAATGAGTGATGTGGCAAAGAAAAATAATTTTATTTTAATAATTTTCACCTCACTTTCCCAACTCCTAAAAAACAATTATTATTAATCTAATAATCTCTCATAGGCTGCGGTAATTATGCAATAGTGGCCGGCCCCGATTGAATTGTTCTCGGTCAAGTTGCCTCTCCTGATTGATATAGCGGTGGCCGGCGGGGTCAGGGTCGGCGGTGGTGAGAATCAAAACAATGGATGACCGACCGGTGGTAGTAGTGATAAATTATTTTTTGTTAGAATAAAATATTCTCACAATAAAAAAGGATACGAAGGTAATTTTAATTTAGGGCAATTAAAAAGTTAGGGCGACAATTAGCAATTCCCATATTTTAGGGGATTACTAAGTGTCGCCCTAACTTTACTTAAATGTTTTATAGTATGCAACTCAATGTATGTATTATAAAAACATAACTAATGGTTATAATTTGGAAAAGAGAGATAGTCATGTCATAAAATGGTAAGGAGAAAAATTAGGGGGTCATGAAAGAGCTGACAGGATTTTGGGGTGGTAAACCAGATTTTTGGGGCTGGCGAGGAAATTTAATCTATAGTTATGCACAATTTAAATCCCCTGTGAAATTTTAGCGGATGATGTCTCATTCGTTTTACATTAGATTTTAAATTTTTTTTGTGCTCTACAATATTTTATTACCATTGACATATGATATGATAATGCTATGGTATTGATATGACAATGATGATATCAAACGATTTTAAATTTTTTTTGTGCTCTACAAGATTTTATTACCATTGACATATGATATGATAATGCTATGGTATTGATATGACAATGATGATATTGGTATGAGGTTGATAACATCCAAATTTGTGTTATTTATACCCTATATCTAAGTTTATTTTGAGTCGTTTTACGTTCATAATGAATTAAATATTGTCGCATATAGCTCTATTTTGTTCCTTTTAGATTATATCTTCATATTAGTGTGTATTAGACAATACACGACCTGGAACTAGAAAGGTCACAAGTGTAGCAAGAATGGAGCTAAAGATCACGACCTGGAACTAGAAGATGGTGGTCGGGTAAATAGGACACGAAGATGGAGCGGAGATCGCAGGCTAAGGAGCAAAGTTCGTGCCCGCAATCTTTGGCACTTCAGGCGTGAACTTCAGAAGAAGTCGGCACAAGAGAAGCAGAGAGTTTCAGTCATCGTTTCACGGCCTCCGTCTTTCCAGCACGCAAGAAAGATCGCGATCGTGACTCATGGATCGCGACCATGAAAGTCAGCCTGCGATCCCCCCCCCCCTCTCCCGGGACAGAGCATGAAACGACAGTGGATGAAGATCACGCCTCATACCCCAACTTTACGCCCCGCGAACTCGACCTGCGTGACGGTGAACTTGTTCGGTTCCAGAAACTCTATAAATAGGAGATCCTTTCCCATTGCAAAGAGCGCAGATTTGATTGAAATATCTAGTTTTGTGAGAGAAAGTAGAAAGAGAAGCTGAAGGAAGGAGAATGAGGAGCTAGAAGGAAGAAGCCATCTCCCCCATCAAGATTTCTTCTATTTCTTCCCTTCTTTATGAAGTAGTCCTCTAAGGTACTAGGGGTTAAAACCCCCAAACCCTAGTTTAGGTTTATAATGTAGATGAATGATTTATGTTAGAGTTTATGAATAGATGTCTTTGTCTAGCGATTTTAATGCTCATGTATGCTTGGGTAAGTTGCCCTAACCTTCTCTACTAGCCTATGATGAGCTACCATGTTGGGTAGGAGTTTTAGACTTAAACGGGTAGCACCAACTAGCAGATTAAGGATAGATGAATGATTTTAGGGTCTTGTAGTGGACGAGGCGACCGAACTCTTGCTACAAAAACGCCTTCCTAGGATGAAGCTTTAGAGGTTTGCAAGTGGTGGGGGTGAGCATCCGATTCGGTAAACCCGAACGAAACTTAAACTGAATTATTGTTATTCGGTTCGAATTCGGAAGAGAAATATGAGTAGTCGAAAACCAAGATCCTCTGAACCGAACAGAGGTTTCCAAATTTCTACCGAAAAACCAAACTATGCCCCCAACAGTCCACATGATCCCCCTAAACACGCAAACCGACAAGCCAATTGAAACCCCAGCCCAGTCATAACCCCCTATCGACCCACCCCGTCACATCACACAGCCACTCCGGCCGCCAACCCATTCCCTCACACCAAACAGCGTCGTCGGCGCCTCGCTGGCTGACATTCCCCTCCTTCCTCTGCGGCTCTGCCTCCCGGCCCTCCAACCGTCGACGCCATCAAATCCGCCATCGCCTCCACCTCCTACACCGTTGGGATCAAGCTTTCTTCCTTTCTTCATCGTTTTGTCTTCCCTGCCGCAACTGGTTTCGTCTCCTGCTGTATCAAAAAGATGCTACTGAAGCTCGAAGGAGAAAAACAAACCCCAAAAAAATACAATGCATGCTTGGATCTGGACCATACGAACCTTCATCGTCGAAGTCGTCACCATCTTTGTCATCAATCAAGGTTGCCGCCTGCAGTTGTCCGTCGATTTCCTTCGTCGTTGTCGCATGCCGTCGTCCGGTTATGCGTTTTACTCTACCCGATCTCTGCTTTGTGCTCGCCGTAACTGTCTCGTTTGTTGGTTGGAACTTGGACGGAGTGGGAGGGGGAGAGGAAAAGGGAGCATCTGAGTCAATGAGAAATGAGGAGATAGGGATTAGGGGGTAAAGAAAAGAGTGGCCATTTTTCTCTAGTAGGTGCCAAAATGCAAGAGTCACAAGGTCAAAACGCACCCAACCAACATTTTTTATTTTGGGGAAAAAACCGAATCGAACTGAGTTATAACTCGGTTCGGCCAAACTGAATGAAATTATAATTCGATTTGGTCTGTGACTGGAATCAGAATACCGGTAGTGTTCTGTTCGGTTCGGTTTGAACCGAACGGAACGAATGCCCACCCCTAGCAAACGCACAGATCTTACTCTTCAGCGTGCACTATAGGTAGTACCTATTGGAATGAACTATATACTTAATGTCCCAGATACGTTAGCCTTGACTAAGGTGACAATGAGTTTTGGTAGGGCGTACTAGGAGGCGTGGGATAAACACGAAATCCCATGGAAAAGAGCTTACGCAACATCTCCGATAAACCCAACATATGCATGTTAGATCTAAACTATGTAGAGGGAGTTACCCAAAAGCACATGCTTCTATCCCTGTTTTCCTCTACTAGTAGTTTAAATTGAATCCTCCAAACCAAACCCAAAGGTGATCAGTTAGATAACATTATAGTGTGAAGTAGGCTAGGATATCTAAACCCATGGAATACGACCTTGGTCACCACTATATAACAACGTCGTTTTGAGTTAAACTTGGCTCGGAATGAGGTAGTTACTTAGACCGTGCGAACAACTGGCAACGGCCCACACGGGGACGATCAGGTCTTATGTTTGGCAAAATAATTTGACGACACCATATCATGATATGATAGTTGTATGATACGCAGGGTTGCGGGTTCCTAGCTAGGGTTTTAGCGAGCAGCGGTTGTTGGAGGTTTCTGGGTTTTTGAAATTCCGGCCAGGCGACGATTCTTGCTTAAGTGAGGAAGAGTAACAGACTGGTGGTGGTGGATTGGAGGATGGCGCTGGCGGGGGAAGTTAAGGAAGTGTTCTTTGTTAAAAGGAGCGAGCTAACATCAACGGCGAGAGTACTTGTGTTGGTGGACTCCTCCGCCTAGCAAGAAAATGGAGATGACAGAGATGTAAATGGATTAGGGTTTATTATTTTATTTTTAAAATTAGATTTTATTATTTTATTGATTGTAATAATGAGGTGGATACTTTTAAAGATTAAATTTAAAATTTTCATTATTTTTAATTGCCATGTCATATATTAGACGGTCAACTGTAAGAGTTGACTGTCATGTAAGGCTAAGTTAACAGAGTTGGACGGAGACTGACTAATGATGAAACAAAAATATAAAGTTAGTGAGCACGAACGGAACTAAATACGGTGTCATCCGAATCCCTGGTATACTCAATTCAAAGGAGGGTAATGGCGCCAAAAGTTTCAGGGATCTTAAGGAATTTGCCTCAGATGTGAGATGAATAGTAATATGTTTCTTGTGGGTTAATTTCATGGTTGATCACTGAAATTACAAAAAAGCATTCATGTTTGGTCACTAGAAATATTTAATTCTATTCGTGGTCACTAACTTTACATTTTCGTTTCATCATTGGTCACTCTCCGTCCAACTTCGTTCACTTTGTCCTATATCGCAGTCAACTCTATTAGTTGACTATTAAATGAGTGATGTGGCAAATAAAAAATAAAATTTTTAATAATTTCCACCTCATTTGCACTACTCCAAAAAAAATTATTTTTAATCTAATAATCTCTCATAGGCTGCGTAACTTCCACCTGCGCTTCTCCGGCCTGTCCATGGAAGTTAGATCCACCACCGCCCCAACGTTAGCCACCTGAGGAAGTTCGCCTAACACGACCCTGCTTTTCTTCTTCTCTTACTGGATAGGAAGGCGAAGGCGAAGTCTAAGCCGATGACTGTTGCTCCTGTTCCTGAAGAAGATATCTCGGCGGCGACGGTCAAGTTGGGGATTGAGGACGGAGATGGAAGACCCCGATGATCCTCAGATGTGCCAGCATTATGACTCCGACATTTATGATTACCTTCACAAGTTAGAGGTGATGAGATTTTTCGATTGGACATTTGCTTTTCCAGTCTGGGAAGTTTCGTGAGACTAGGGATTAGAGTTTTTGTTTGGATTTTAATTTAGGGGTTTGATCTTTAGGCTTAACCAAAGAGAAGCCCCTGCCTGATCACATCGACATGGTCCAATCTCAAGTTACTCCCAACATGAGAGGGATTCTTGTGGCTTGTGGAGGTTGCTTCCTCGCCGGCACCGAGTAACACCGCCGTTGTCATCTCCTCAGTGCAGTGGGCAATTACAAATCGTTTACAATCACTAATTTAATGTTTACCATTTTTGTTTAACATATAAACAACAATTACCAACAGTGTAACAAATTCTATACAAACAGATTCAAAGTATACCGTAAAACTCATCCATAATATCTTTCACCGAAAAAGAAAAAAATTTCACAACTTCTCAATCAAGAATCAGCCACTCTTACTCCAATCTTTTAAATAAGCAAGTGAAAAGATTGATCCGCGGAAAAGATAAGGACAGGTTCTAGTTCTACACTCATTAAGCCACAACCCCCGGACAATTTCTCCACTGATTGAACCGGCGCGGACACGCAGAAAGACTCGTGCAAGGCCCACAACCAGACACACTTACCCACGTGTGTCGCCCATCTCCAGCCACGCGCCACCAGATCACCTCTGCTTCGCTGGCCACCCCATTAGAAACAATGAACCTCCAAGGCTGAGTGAGATACCATAAGAAAGAAAAGATTGTCTGCAGAACAAAACAAGCGGACTCTCTCTGTTGTTGCAGCCAGCCAGGCTGCTGATTGAGCTGAAGAATGGAACCCAATTGCTCAGGCTAAGCTCAAGCTATAGGATGCAATTGAACAAAAATGCTGACCTTACGAAGTGACTCCGCTGAAACAAACACAGGTGGGGAAGGGAGCCTTACTGGGTGCAGGAGTGTCACTGTTCATATTGTCATGAACCAGTTGGTCCCAATAACTCGAGTTGTTGGGAGAAAGTTATGCTGGATCTTATACAGACCCATGTATGGTGCTTAACCACTTCCTTACACACCCACTCAAACGAAAGCCGACTCGTGGACTTGAAGTTTGCACAGACCCGCCATACCATGTGCTTGAAAGACAATGGTTAATATTGGGGGTCGTGAGGACTTGAACACGTGACCTCACGGACAACCAGCTCTGATACCATGTCATGAACCAGTTGGTCCCAATAACTCGAATTGTTGGGAGAAGGTTATGCTGGATCTTATACAGGCCCATGTATGGTGCTTAACCACTTCCTTACACATATTTGCTGCACCAGTAGGAGATTTCTTCCAGACCACCTTTAACATGAAGAAAAGATGATATGATGATCTAGCAGAATACAACGTTTTTTGACTTGTGTTAATCACATAATGCATGTATAGAGAATGATGTATACTTGGTCTAACCATTTTTGTGAGATTTAGTATCCATAGTTCATTTCATGTATAATTCATGCATTCTTCTATGTTTTCCAAACAAATCATTCTTAAAATTCACACATTCTTAGTATACACATAATCTTAATACACTCATTCTTGTAATACACCATTTCCATTTCCAGAATCAAACGTTCCAAACGATATCAACAATATTACTTATAGCTCTACCGATTTACAACATCCAACATTCTGTTATATACATGTTGCAGAAAAGAAGAACTGATTCAATTACCTGGAGAAGTTAAGACTGACCATAATTTAGCAGCAGCTGGCAAAGCTGCGGAAGAAAGACCAGCGTACTGCAGAGACAGATGTTGTCGAGCATTAGCAGGTGGACAATACTGCAAGGAGGAAATGATTCCCAGTGAGAAAGATGACCATACATCAAGTAATGTAGAGAATGGAAATGTGGGGAACATAATGGTTCTAAAAAAATTAATACAACCAAATGCTTTACTGAAAAATCACCTCAATTCAGGGCGAGCAAACCAGGCAGGAAGAACAGCTTCTGCCAGAATTATCAGCAGTCCCCATAACCGAATGCCAATTGAGTGGCTTTCAATAATATCCATCTATCAAACCCTTATGGACTCAACATTTCCTCTCCACTGCAGATGTGTATACTGCAGGTTCTTCAAGTATGTTAAAACTCGAAGATTTAGAGCCAGATAATCAAATGACTACCTACGGCACCCTCAGCCAGTCCACCCAATCTCCTCATCCTTAAACATCAGAAGTAAGGAAGCATAAAGAGGATATTACATGTTGAAGGTAAGGTCTATGCAAATCTTTTGCACCAATGGAGAATCCTCAATAATTTATTTCCAACAATATCTGTAACTTGTCTTTTTCTCCTTCTTCCTTCTTCAATGTCTAGAGTTCTATAAGCAAGAGCAAGCAAATACATTGCTGGGTGGAGTCTTCTGCGATGGCACAAAAAGCAAAGAGAGAAGTTAAAACAATTCAGATATTGGCCAGCTTCATGTGTCATACCAACAGCCAAAATTAAGAAGTTATTTCAACATAGAGCGGGAAATCAAACGCTATAACTTTATACTTCATGGTTCCCTAAACTGGAAAGAGAGCCCGTGTAAACATCAGATTGAAGTTGGAACTTCTACATCCATTTAACAAGGATCGACATACTTGTCATATAGCTCGCTTCCATCACAACCATCCCAATATCTTTGTGATGTCACTGTGTGACCTTTCCTGTCCCGACCAAATGTTTCAATGTACCAACCTCCAATATCGTGCATGCCACAACGAGGCTCAAACAGCCAAAATCTGCAATCAAATTTCCAAATGAAAAATAAAACTGAAAACCCATGCTGAAGATTGAACTTATTAAAGTCCATCCTCCAAGAGAGAAACCTCATGTGTAAAATTTCACACGTTATAGACGAATCATTTGGAAGCAGAAACATATAAGGCCAAGACATTCAAGTTGACCTAACGAATGAGTGGTTTTAAGTTAGAATCATCTATCATATCATACTTCCAATTACTTTCTTACTTGCTTGGAGGTAACCGAGCTCTACTGCATCTACACTCACAAACAGAAACCTTATCTCCCAGAGCATACCAGTGCATATGCTTCACCTGCAAGTAACAAGCAAAAATGAGGAAAAATGTACCTTGACCGAATAAGGATTTCCTGCAAGCAATAGATAAGATTGTGGCAGCAATTAGGGCTTCCTACAAGTATAAGCACAAGACTTCCCTCCAAAAGTCAACTCTGGTAGGTTAAATAATCTCAGAATATAGCTATCAACCATGAAGGACCAAAAATGTTAACTTTGAAACAAGGAAATTAAGTGAAACGCCAATAGCACTAATTTTGTATATTAGCAATGAAAAAGCCCTTTCGTCATAGGAACCAGAAGTGAAATATGCTTTCCACACTAATTTGCCAATGGATGCATATGCAAGTAAGCAGAAACGCCTAAGCTCAAAGCTAGCAATCCTTATATAATAATGAAACTATGATTAATGCCAACTACATGCAACAAAGAAACAAAACCACCTCACAAGTCACAAGGTAGAAACGAATCACCGTTCGATGAAGAGAACAAGGAGCTGTGATTAGCAGCAACTAAAATGTCCAATTTAGTCAGTAAACAAGCATGCACACAAGATAAATCTCATTAAGGCAGAAGTTCTGCATATTACTTCACCTTTCGGGGGAACACAAAAAGTCAAGGCAAAAAACTATCACGACCATCCAGGAAATAGACGAAGATTGAGGAAGGATAAACCATTACATACCATGAATGTCCTGTGTTTCATAATAGTGTGGGTATTTTTACCACAGCTGTCATACACAGAGCATGATCCTTCATCAGCACTGGTCCCCAATCCAATTATACTTCCCAGTGGAATCCGATCTCCTAAAAATGATTTTTCGGACGATACATTCCCAACAGTAGTGGAATTACCGTTGGAACATAGGAAAACACGTATTTCATCTTGCAGATCTTCATTTTGCACTCCATGGCTTTGGCATTTAGGAGGAGTTCTACTCGCCACAGCAACCACAGATCCACATATATGTAATTCTAGATCTTTATAAGCATCTGGCGAATATCTCCCAGTGCGTCCCACATGATGCCTAGAGCTTGCATGGCCATATTCATTGGCTCTCACATTCTCAGGAGATTGATGCATCTCCAAACTGCTAAATGTAGGACTTAATTTCATAGCAGCAGAAGGAGATAATTCAAGAATATCATTGACAATGGAGACCATTCCAAAAACATCCCTTCCAGAAACCAAGTGCAACACCTCTGGAGTTTCATAAACAGATCTTTCCTCCGCTTCAAAACGGTCTGGAAGAAGGTCCATAGACTCGATTTCAGGACCGTAAAAAGCAGAATGGATGGCCGAATAAAAATCGGCTTCGAGAACATCAAAATAACCCGTCCCAACAGCAACCCTCCTCTCTGCCACTATATCATTTATTGCTGACCTATACCACCGTAACCATTCCACAACTTCCATCTCTCTAATATCACTAGCATGCGAGTTATACATTTGCAACCTTGAACCTTGTCTAGAACTAGAGTGTCTCTGCACTATCTTTCTCTGAGACAACAGGTAGCAGTCGTAGTGAGCTCTTCTCGCGGAATCCGAAAGGATCTGAAATGAAAAACACTTCTGTTCATTGACAATCACACAGACCTAGTAAAGCCGCGGATTTGAAATGCTTAAGCTCCCAATTTTCTCCCATTCTTATATCAAAGCTACAGCATTCCTTACTGTTCTTATAACCCACTCAAATTGAATCCACTCTTCAACCTTACCATTCAGTAGAAAGAACCTGTGGATCGAACTGGACGAGAATTACCTCATATGCTGCCAAGATTTGGATGAAGCGTTGAGAGGAAGCTTTGGAGTCGGTGGTGTTCGACTCGGCGCGGTCAGGGTGAGTTTCTTTGGCCAATTTCCGGAACGAAGCTTTGATTTCAGCGAACGAGCTGGTCTCGGATACACCCAAGATGCAGTATGCGTTTTCTCCAGGGAATTCCGTCCGAAATCGAGTCGTCGGCGGTGTTAAACATCCTAATTCCGCCACCGTGATTCGCATATGGGGAAAAGGCGCAACCGCGGATGTGGATTGACATTCTGCAGATCAACAATTTCAGCATCATTGCTCCGTCCGCTGAGCTATGGAACTCGGGAAATGCCCTTGGAGCGAGGACCGAGTCACAGTGCCGAGTCGAGGTGACGAACAATGCACCGCGGGAAGTGTCACCGTGGCAGTACAGTGGGTAAGAGAACTCGCCTGTAAAACACTCTCAAAGGCTGTAAGTGACACATCGTGTTGTATACACTTCTGTCGTTTTCATACCTTGGCCTAAAAAACTAGAGGTGCGCCACAGTCTCGGTGCTAAATGCTAATGACAATTCTATTAATTCTTTTAGGGGTTGTTTGGAGGTTGAGATTTTTCAAATATGTGTATTCGATGAATAAAATACAAGGATTGTAAGAATTAGTGATTGGAAGAATGTATTGTCTGTTTGTAACAACTCAAAAAATTTAAATAAAAGAAAAAAGCACTTTATGAGCTAAAAGTGGAACAAATTAAAGCTCACAATCTCAAAAGAAGAATCTCACATTTTTGTTGAGATTTAAAATGAGTGATTGTGGTTGAATTGAGATTTGAAGACTCACCTCAAATGCATGTATTGAATAAAGTTTTGGGACAAAAAAAAAGATGGTTTCTCTAGAATACATGAATTCAAAGAATCATTCATTTAGAATCACAAACTTCCAAACGACCCCTTAGTATTTAATATTTATAGAATTAATTAATACTAAGCGGGGCCTAAAATGTATTGTGCTCTTTTGACGACTAGACTCTAGGAGTCGTGGACTTGGTCGGGTCCGGCAGGCATTCGAGACATGGCTCGAGCCAAAGGAGGCATTGAGCCTAATGGGCACTCTAGGACCAAGCATTATGCGTCTTCTAAACTAGGCTATGGGCGTAGTTAAGTTGTTGTGGGGCTGGGTATCAGACTACTGCTCTATAGGTTGTGCATCTTGTTTGTCGATTCAAACCTCTAAACCACCTCTTCTCCCTCGAAGAAAGAACAAAAACATGTTCAAATCTTTGCCTTACACGGGGCGCCAATTTTGTGAGCCAAGAAGACTAAATCTGACTTTGAAAATACTTGAGGATGAACTTGTTGAAGTTAATATATTTGGTAGGCAATTAACCATGATTATAAGGTTAATTACTTATGTACCCTTTTGTTTAGGGTTTAAGTTGGCCAGCATATAAAGGGTGGGTTTGGTCGAGTTGTCTAGTAGTGGTAGGTTTTTTTTTTTTCTGGATGGCTAAACCTCGCCCTAAATTTACTAGAATCGCGCTAACTTAAAATGTAAAATCACTAAATTATCCTTTATTAATGAAAAAAAAGGAAAAAATCCTAAATTCACCCTACTCCTTCATCTTCGTGGATAAGGAGCCTCCAAACTACCGTCCGTCGTCAAGTCATTCTTATTCACCGGTGGTACAATCCATCCACTGCGGCGACCTCCTCAATTCCAAACGACCCTCTCTCATTGTTCCTTCTCCCTTACTATGTATGAAGTTTGTCAATGGCCCCGCTCTAAAATTAACCACTCTTCCTTCTTTGCCGAATATTAGATAGCCAATTACGCCAGAACGCCTTCTCTATGTATTCAATCCCCAATTGTCCAGAGCCATGTTGGATCTCGTGATCTCTCCGTAGATGAAAAGGATTGCATAAAGGGGAGTTAATTGATACCATCCAAGTTAGTTTAACCTTCCCAAAATTATGTTGGTGATGAAACTTAGCGGGAGCCCTAGGTCGATCTGAGAGGATGGCGCCAGGCGGCGATGGAATCACTGGCCGGCGACCGGACGGTTATTGTCAACTGTTAATTTGTGTTTGTTGGATGGATTTTTTTATTGGAATAAAATATATGCTAAAAATAAAATAAAAAATGAAAGGATAAAAATGTAACTTCCACTTTTAATTTAGGGCGATTATAGAAAACTTAGGGCGACAATTAGCAACTCCCTTTTTCTTCCGTGGTTCTTTGATTTCTAGCTTTTGTCTTTTCATTTCCATACAACTAACCACTTCTTTTGGTTCTCTCGTTGATTCTTATGAGCTGTTGGGTGCTCAGATTCTTCGAACACTTGTTTCTCTATTTGTATTAGGTCTCTTATTTCTGTTGTTATCATGGATCCCAAGATTGAGGTTGTTTCAATCAAGCTCACTGGAAAGAATTTCCCCTTTTGGGAATTACATTTCGTATATTTGTTCATGTACGTCATTTGCTAGCTATGATGGATGGTTAATTCCAAGCAGCTGCCTGTCGATGCTTCTGATAAGGCAAAGGAGGATGGGTAGGCGAACAACGCTCAACTGATTTTATGGATTCTGTCTTCGATTGATCCTGGTATTGCACTAAATTTTTGAGGCTTTGTCACGGCTCATGATATGTGGCAACATCTTATCAATATCCACTCTCAACTAAATGGCTCAAGGAAGTTTGAGCTAGAATCATAAATTGCTTATATTGAGTAAGGAGACAAACACATTCGGTGTTATTATCAGGCAGCGGTGCATCTGTGGATTGAGCAGGATTTGTTACTCTCTTTATGCATTCCAGATTTTGAATCAATGTCATGTTGAAGAAGCGTGCAGGATCACGACTGATGTTCTTCTCGATGAGGTTGTGGGCAGATTATGAGAGCATTAGTGTATATCTTCTTCATCATAATGTAACGTCCATGGAGGAATCTTTGGAGAGTTGCTTCATGAGGAAAGTAGGTTGAGAAGTCTATCCAAGACTGATATTCACTATACTGAGAATGGCACAACCTTTGTTGTACAATCCGGAAAGCCCCAACTCCATCGTACTTCCACGAGTGAGCTAATTTAACATTTTGAAAGGAATCGAGACGTATACTCATTCACTACAAGAAGAAAAATACATGTAACTACTACAAGACTCCTGGCCACATAATTGGTGATTTCCCACCCTCGCTCAACCTGGCAGGAATTGACCTCCAGATGGGTGGGGGATTGAAGGGACACGTGATAGTCTTCTTCCCGTTCTGAATTATGCAACAAAACAATTTTGCTTGGCTCACCCTACGCTCTCTTTTAAAACCATTTGTCAGATGGTGCAAGACGTTTTTAAGGACACTCTTTCTTCCACTCTAACTTTTCATTTTTACGGTTATTATGTCTTCTGGTTCCTCAAACTCTTGGCATCTTGACTCTGTTGCTTTATTCATATGAACAGTTCTCAGAATGTTTTTGAAGAGATTCATATTGGGCCAGTTTTAGAGTTACAAGAAAATGGATGTCATCTTCTAGTGAAGGGAATCGGGACTGTTCAGGATAATCAACGTTGCATGGAGGGGATTATTCTTCATGTGAAGATGGAAGCATTGGTCTTGCTTTTCATGTGCATCAAGTCTCTAGTTGTGGTAATGTTTCTGAGTCTTTGTTAGTTCGTACTACTCAAACTCATTGTCCTAGTTATTTAGTTCAAGTTTCAGATTGGGAATTATGGCATTGTCGGTTAGGCCACTCAAACTCATCATGAATTTTGCATATGTTTAAGAATAAATGGCTTTCTAGCCTTGTTATTTCGAATCTTGGGCATGATTGTGTGCATTGTATACTAGCTAAGATAACTAAGATTCATTTGCATCCAGCTCGACGATTTATTCTGATCCTTTCCACTTGGTTTACACAGATCTTTGGGCACCTTCATCATTCACCTTTCGCTTGGGATTATGGTATTTTGCCCTGTTCATTGATAATGCCACACAGTATGCACGAGTTTATTTCTTAGGGTCGGCTAACAGGGTGTGTGAGACGCCCTTCGACATGGGACCTCCAAATATTAGGGGGCCTCCACCTGAATTCGTAAGTTAATCCAATCATATAGTGTCAGTTGTTTTTGTGGAGTATATTAATTGATTATGAGTATGATGATAATTTTAAGGTTTAATTCACCCGTGTAGCCATAACTTTCACGGTTTTGACAAATATAGCCACTTTTTAAATAATACACAGATGTAGCCACACTTTTCAAACATTGTGGACTAATCTAGCCATTTTACTTAAAACATTTGACAGTGTTAACGCCTCCGTCAGTTAAGTGGACTTTTTGCTGATATGTCCGCCAAATGGATGACACGTCAACGCCAACCGGATGGAGTTAGCCACGTGGACGCCACATCGGAAAAAAATTTTATTTTCTTTAAAAAAAAGGAATTTTTTTTTATTGAACTCTCTGTCTCTCTCCCCTTCATCGTCATCGTGGACTAATCCCCTTTCTCTCTTATTTTCTAGGGTTCATAGAGCAGAGACTGATTTTCAATCCCTTCTTCCTTCCATCTTCAATCCCTTCCGTCGAGACCTCCTCTCTACCCCAACTCCTCACTGCCGTCGACGCCTCCTTCTCAGCATACCCATATCGCCTCCCCTTCACCGCCTCTGCTACCGTCCCCTGTTTCTCTCCTGATTCCATTTTCGCCTAAATACACCAATATCCCAGCCATTCCTTCATCTCCATTGATGAGATTACCTCTCCTTGTAACCTCTTCACCAACCCCATTTCTTTGTGCCCTGGTCTCCTCCACCTCATTTGCACTCCTTCTTCTTTTCTTTTTCGGCCTGCCAGGCATTGATCTAATTTTGGGAGGATGAACAGGTATTCCCTCAGGTGCAAGCCATGCTTGCCTACCATCCAGGCAAGGTATCCCATAGTTGTATGCGAAACTAGCCATGTACACGTGATAGTATGAATTCACATAATCATCCACTTCCCTTCTTAGATGGCTAATAGCTGAAACTGCGTGGCAGCATGGAATGCCACTAAGTTGCCAGTAACCACAAGAGCAACTACATTCGGTCAGATCCACTATAAATCCTTCACCCCCCTTCTTTACTTCACACCTTGCATTGAGAGTTTGCTTAGCTACACATAACCTGGCCTCTTCCTTTTCCCTTTCAACTCGTTTCCTAATCCTTGGAGGCAATGTGTCTGTACACTTAGCAAACATTTCTGCCTTAAGCACTACCCTATCCATCATGTACTGCCTTATACCCTCCAGCATGTCTACAATTCTCATACCCCTATATTTAACAATACAACCATTCCGTGTCTCACATACATTGCTCTCAACCGAGTCACATTTCGAATAACATGATAAGAAGGCACGACAGAAACGACGAGGTTCAACAGCCATAAAGTCTGTATATGGGGTAGAACCATCACCTGACTTTTCAATTGCCTCCAGCTCAGTTGTATAACGGTTCCAATGG